CAAATGTGAGCTGAAAAGCGCTCTATTTATGATGGAAAGTTTATTACAGAGCAGCTCTAGTGATAAAGCTGTGAGAATGAAAAGTATAAAACTCCTGTTTGAGTTGCAATTTTATAAAGAACCTATGCTACTGGCCCCTAAAACTCTTGGAACTAACTTATTAAAGCTCTGCACAATCTCCCTAAGTCTCCTTAGGTTCTCCCTGCTTCCCAACTCCATCTGCTAGGGTATGCAGTAATGTCCTAGGAATCAATATTGGAATACCAATTGGTGGTCTACAGAATGTTGTCATTGTATCCCATTTGAGCGAGATTGCATCTTGTAATTATTCAGCTATTTTTTATACATGGGAGTAGTATAGAGTCTCAATCTGTGAGAATCATGGGCTCACAATGGACAGAGTAGGGGGCAAGCATGGGTGAGAGAGCATGACCTGGTGTCCCTTGTTCTTCATACTAGGCCTGGCTGCTTAAATACATTTATTCAATGGGCAGTTGAATTGGTTTGCCCTGTTTGGCTTTGCACAGGACAAGGCATCTAGATTTGCTTTATAAAAAACTAGAGGCCTGGTGCACGAAAGTCATGCACTTGGGGGCTCCCTCAGCCTGGCCTGTGCCCTCTCGCAGTCCAGGAGCCCTCAGGGGATGTCCAGCAGTTGGACAGTCTTAGCAGTGCTGTGGAGGCAGGAGAGGCTCCTGCCACTGCTGCTGTGCTCGCCAGCGTTGAGCTCAGCTTCTGTCTGAGCAGCACTACCCCTGTGGGAGTACACTGACCACCAGGGGGCAGCTCCTGCATTGAGCATCTGCCCCCTGATGGTCAGTGTGCATCATAGCAACCAGTCATTCCACCATTTGGTCAATTTGCATTTTAGCCTTTTATTATATAGGATGATGTTTTTTAAGTTTAACATACATACAGAAACACAAATTACATGACATGTGTATACTTTAGTGAATTTCCATTCCATGAACACACCTATTCTTAACACAGATGAAAGAAAAAGAGCTGCCATACCCCAGAATCTCCCCTTGGGCCTGCCCCTTCGGTTGCTTCTTTCTCCATGGTAGGTAGGCTACATGTCCTGACTTCTAACACTATACATCACTTGGTCTATTCCTAAGTTTTATAGAAACACACTCATATTTTGTATTATTTTATCTCTAATGACTTTCTCTCTATATTGTGAGACTCACCCATAGTGTGCAAGCAGCAGCAGCTGGATTCTGTTCCATTGTATAAACATACCGCAATTACTGGTTAAGGCCATTTGAGTTGTTTCCAGCTTTTGGCTTTTATGAATAATACTGCTGTGAACACGCATGTACCTATGTCTTTCGGTTTGCATAGGTATGTGGTTCTGGTGTGTGTGTATGTGGGTATAGTTGTTGCGTTCTGCAATGTGAATATGTTCAGCTTTCCTAGATACAGCCACACAGTGTTCCAATATGGCCATTCCGGTTTATGTTCCCATCTGGTGTGGCTGAGAGCCATCACTCCACAATCTTGCTCATATTTTGCTGAAGTCATGTAAAAATTGTGGCTATTCCTGTGTTAGTACAGAGGTGTTTCCTTGTGGTTTTCCTTTGTGTCTCTCATCACCATTTGAAGCTTAGCATCTTCGCATGTGTATGCTGGCATTTGGATACCCTCTTCTGTGAAGTGCCTGTTCAAGTCTCCTGCCTAGTTTTCAATTGTGTTGTTTGTTTTAATTTTGAAAAAAAGAGTGAGAGTTTCATGAAAACATCTATGGAAAGTTTTTTTAAAAAATATATTTTTATTGATTTCAGAAAGGAATGAAGAGGGAGAGAAAAATAGAAACATCAATGATGAGAGAGAATAATTGATCATCTGCCTCCTGCATGCCCTGCACTGGGGATCAAGCCTGCAATCTGGGCATGTGCCCTGACGGGGAATGGAACTATGAATTCCTGCTTCATAGGTTGATGTTCAACCACTGGCTGGCTATGAAAATTTTTTGAAATCTATAGTGATGAGAGTCACCTGTCAATGATACATGATTGCTTCTCAAAATTCCTGGAGAGCCCCTCTGACAGGAGACTTGGGTGTCGTTCAGGGGATTGTAAAGCTGTGTGATCACCTGAAAGCAGAAAAGCATTTAGCCTACAAATGTGCTTGCCTTTTATGGAAGTCACTCTGGAAGATTGTAGACCAACTCCAAAAGTATTGCTGAAAACATTCTTGGAATTGCTTTGAGTAGATTGTTCTGGATATTTTTAGTTGGTTTCAAAATGCACTTTGAAGCCTGTATTTGATTTTGGAGAAACGCAAAAGATCTCAGAACCCAGTCTGGTAAATAAAGAGGGTGCTTCATGGGTGACTTAAAAATAAAAACATTATTTATTAGGCATGCCTGTAAAGGGATGGACCTTCCTTTCCTGGGTGAAGTGTGAAAACATTAGCAGGGAAACAGAAGGCCCTGTATGAAAACCTTTCTTTTTCTATTATCTTTTAATCGTTGCAGTAACCTAGGAGGTGAGGTACTTACTGTTGTGAGTATTCCACTTTACAGATGAAAAATGGGAGATTTAGGAAGAGAAAGAAAGCATAGGAGTGAAACCTAGCTCTCTTACCTGAGGGCCACTAGTGCCTTTTCCCCACCCTTCCTCACCTCTGACAAGTCTTAGAGGAATTACATACCAGTTGCAGACAGAAAAACATGCGCAGTTGGTGAAGGTCTGGCTTCCACCTTGCCCTATTATTGACCCTCAGGAACTGGGTGGCCCTCTGCCCGCTGGAGCTCTGATGGGGGAGGAGAGCTCAGAGTCAGGCTTTGGTACATGCATTCTTCCCAAAGACAAGTCCTGGGGCCCTACTGTTTGGAAACAATTTAGTCTTTCTGTGTCCTGCCTGGGCTCACAGCCTGACCTATAGGTCTTCTTACACTGTCTGTTCTTTTTACCTCCTGGCTGGCAAGCAGCCACCCAGGAAATACTCTAAAAATGTATTGAATGCCAGGTATTGTCACTGTTGGAAACTATATCCTGTGTGGTAGTCTCTTTCCCAGCTGGGTACTTGTATAAAATCTGACCAGTAGGGCCAGAATATTGCTGAATTCTTCAATATTCATTCATTCATGATCTTAAAAAGAAAATTACCCATTAGTTTTCTGGTGTCTAATACAGACCTTCAGAAATTATCCTTGAAAAGAATGCCCTGGGCAGATTGCTTTCAGATAGACCTTTGGGCATCCAGCTGCCCCTGAGATGTGGAGTTTGGGAGAGACCCCAAAATACATGTGACCATTGCAGAGGCTTGTTCTCACCTTTCCTGGCTGACAGATCCCCCCCACCCCCCGCAACGAGCTGGCCGTCTCTGCTGAGATTGGGAATGTCGTCTAGAAGCTGAGCACACAGAAAGCAGAAGCTGCAACCTATTTTTTTGGGCTCAAAGCCAGAGCAAAGAAGCCTCAGGACTTCTCTTGAGACAGCACAGTAGCATGATTTCCTCATTTGGTATTTATTCTTAGCACCTTATATACTACACAGTAATACTTCTGGAGTTGGTTATCAGGGCAAAGCCCTAGGTCATGGGTAACCAGATAACCAAATCATTTCCTATACAGATTAGAATTTTATTTCATTCACATTCAGTTTTCCCTGGATAAAATGAGGTGCTTGAGATTAAGTGTGAGGATATTTTAATGAAAACCTCCCTTGGTAGGTATTCATTTTCTTATCATATTTATTTTCCTATAGAGGGTTCTAGAGCCAGAGTGAAGAGCCAGGTGTTACTAAGGAGCAGTTCATGTTCCCCAAAGACTGTGAATACCCGATGTGGCCACCTTACCTGTTTTCTCGGCAGATTATAGGATTATAGTAACCTTACACCTGTGCGGTTTGTACACCTCAGATTTGGACTTTGCTGGTGGCTGTCTGAATTCACCTCCTGCCACCACCACCCCCTGCCCCCCAAAAAAGACACTTATAAATACTTCTTTGTCTTGTGAGTTTTACAGGGCACTGAGTAAACACAAGCTATACATTGTGAAAGGAGTAAAGGGCCGCCCACATCCTTATTTTTTGAGCGGGTGTAACTAACAACTTGTTCCTGGATGTGTAACTAGGATGTAGGTCATGATCCCACGGTGTCTCTGGCAGAGCTACAGTAAACACTGTCTCCCTGTAGGGCGCTGCGTTATCTTAAGGTACAAAGGTCTAAGGTTCTTTTTTTCTGAGAAGTTTCCTATGAAGTTTATTTTATTTTGTATAAGCCTCTTGGATTGAGATTAAGGAGTTCACTGCAGTGAATACTTGAGGCTTCCTTAATATGAAATTTATTATGTGCATGTGGTGTGTCAGTGCTAACACCTTTCTATGGGTCTTTCAACTGTGTTGATTGGGTGCTATCATTCTCCCTGTTGTACAGAAATTAAGGTGCACACTAGTGGTATCTTGGTCTCAGGGTCCACAGCCCATCATTTTGACTCTGGTTTGGGCCCTGATGACTACACCATGCTCTGCTGAGGCAGTGAGCAACCGAGGAGCTGGACAGCACGTGGGGCTACTCCTCGACGCTGAGTATGGGAAGATCAGACATTTCTTAGAAGGAAGTATAGCACTGTGGGCAGCCCCTGCTTTTTAAATATGCTCCGTTTAGGTGATTAGTGGGGATATTCATTGGAGCAGATTTCCAGAAGAAATGGATTTTGAAGGAGAGAGCCGTCTGATGACACTGAAAGGAGAGGGAAACAGTCATCTTCATTTAAGGGTGCTGACCTACATCCTGAAAAGGCTTCCATAGAGATGATATGGTATTTGTCCAGGGGTTCTTAAAAGCAGTTTTGCCTGGGACAATTGTTTCAGTAGGTTTGTGAGTTTTAGCAGACCCTCCTTGTCCTCTTTCTACTGACGGCAAACAGACAGGGCCAAGCTCCTTCTATGTGGAGCTTCACTTCTTCCTCTTCTTTTTCATCTCTGGGCTTTGGAGAAGAGAAGGGACAGATGCAGATAGTTCCTCTTCCTTCCTCGCATGGGCACCATGTCACAGTGCTATGTTGGGGTGAAGAGGCCTGGAGAAATTGCCAGGGAAGACCTCTTATAAAGGCAAGAGGTCTGGTTTAAAATCCTGCAGGGGTCATTTACCTGCATCTTTGTCAGGGCATCTTTTTCATTTTGCTTTGTGTTAATCTTATCTCTGTCTTTTCATTCATTCAACAAAAAGTGACTACTATGTGTAACCAATTACCATGGTGAGAAAAAGGAGGCAAGGTTTTTGCTTTTATAGAATTAAAAAAAAATCTGTACACAAAAATACTTGCATAAAATGTTAAATGACAACTGTTGTAAGTGTATATGGGAGAGATAATTGTTTGAGGAGGTTTGGCCTAGTTAAGGAAATCAAGGTGGCCTTCCTCAGGAAGTGATGGTGAGCAGCAATATGAAGGATGAGTAGGAGTTAAAGAGGGAGGGGATGACATTACAGAGGTGACAGATGTACAAAGTCCCTGTGGTGGAGGAGGCCACAGTATGAGTAAGGGACAGAAGGTCCCTGTGACTGAGAGTGTAGAATAAAGAGCATGAGACAGTCTTTTCCAAAGAGGCATGAGGGCTTCTAAGCATGGGTTTGAAGTAATCAGATTAACGAGATGGTTGCAGATAGAGAGAGAGAGAGAGAGAGAGAGAGAGAGAGAGACAGAGAGAGAGAGAGAGAAAGGGATGAATGGATTATAGGGATTCAAGAGGAGATGTGGATGGACCAGTATAGAAGTTTTTGCTGTAGTTCAGGAATAAATGATGATCACCTGATCAAGAGAGGTAAGGATGGAGAGATGGGTGGATGTTGAGAAAGGTAGACGTAATATTACTGGATGTGGTGATGGCCTAGAAGTAAAGGGTGAGAAAGATGGAGGTATCAGGGACTACTCCTTGTTTTCTAGCTTATACAATTGGATAATGGAGTGCCATTCTTTAGATATCTTCCCAAGTAGACTCTAGGCTGTTTAACAGCAGGATATTTTTCTAATTTAATTTCAAACACTTCTAGTGTAACCTATACAGCAGGTACTCAGTTTTTGTTTTCTGTATTATTTGAACAGGAGGGATTTCTTCAGAATGATGGCACGTATGCTTGTTGGGGAGCAGCAGTTCATATACCACTTAATGTGATTGGGGCAAGAGAAAAGTAACATAGTTGGAATAGAACCCCAAAGGCATTTATCCATGTAGAGATATGTCTTCAGTTTTCAGGAAGCATTTCTAGTAATTTTGAACTTTTTAGCCCTTGGAAATCTATATTTTTTTCATTTCAGTGCTTTCTTTTCCACTAAAGTCCTTCACACCACTAGTGGATGCTGTTGCTCAGAGGGACCCAGCATGTGATGACAATTGATTGAATCTTGGTGGAGAAGTACCTGAAATATCATATTTCTCTTGGATAGCTGTTCACGCACAGGTAAAAAGTACCTGTGTTTCTTTTTATATCCAATCCTTCTGTAAAATTATTAGTCAGTGGGTAAGTTTTAAGATGATGTAACTCTTAAGTGGTCTGAAGACTGAGAGAGAGATGAGTGAAAGTCAGATCTAGGTTTTTTTGTTGTTTGTTTTAAGATCGGTTTGGATTTCAGGTGCCGGGGTGCTCAAGGCAAGTCACAACCCCAGAACTGAGAGTATAAGGAGGACAAATGATTTCTTAATCTTTCTCCTCAGTGTAGATACATGTAAGATGATGGTGATAATCACCGCCAACCTTCTTGAAGACTGGACAGAGGATAATTCTGGTGTGATGGTTGTCGTTGGGACCAGTGCTCCACAATTCTTCTCCACAGAATAGAATATGTTCACTAAGATGAACTTGTTCAAAATGATTTGCCTTTAGTTGGCCTATTTTCCTCAATTTTGTTTAGGTTGTATATTTTAAGCCTCTATTTTTTCTACCCCTTTCTGTCTTTTCAAACATTCTGAACACTAGTGTATGTCTTTCTATCTTTACCACTGTATTTTTTCCACTCTCCACTTTTTCTTGGAACTGCATGGTACCATTGTTTATTTCATTCTGTAGTTGGAAAAGGACTTAGGTATACAATCAACTCTTTTGTCTTCTCTCGATGTGCTTTATATCTATTCCATTTTACAAATAAGGAAATCGAGGCTGTACAGTTCTACCATGAAACTGTAGTAAACACAGGACTCTTAACTCTGATATTTTGATTCCTCAGCTAGTGGTGATTTTCTAGAACTTTAACATATTTTTGAGATTTTTTTTATTTTATAATTTAACTTTCCATTTAAAGTTTTCTTCTGGAAGTTGTTTCCCTGCTTTATGGTAAGTAAAGTTTTTATTGGTTCAGCACAAGGGGAGAACCTAGCAATGAATTTGTCTTGTAAAATTAATAGGAAAGTTTATAGCTCTATAAATAATATTTACTGAATTTAGCAATATTATTTGTATGGATGGATAAATAATTTTGAAGTGTACCAATATTTTCTATCTGGTCCAGCCAAATTCCCACTTGGAGGAGATTATATTTGTGTTGAAACTCACTGTCCTTTCTCTTGGTCTTTTGGAGGAGTGAATCTTCGGACTCATGATTTTTCACTCTGCATTTGCATAGGAAATCAGGGTGTATATAGTAATTTTGAAAGGTTCCAGAAAATTTTCATAAGGTAAGTCTCATAAATCCACTGAATTAAAAATAAAGAACATATAGCAACAGGACTTGTTATGTAGCAACAGGACTTGTTGTTTCTTTTAAAGAAGAGATGGGAATCCATGAATCAAGTGAAGACAGGCTATGGCAATTTCAGAAAGCATGGGGATTACTGCTTTAAAGGTCCAGGAACAACAGATAAGAACATGGTCACTCTATCAGTCTTTATTGCACCCTGTTGTGTAGGTGAATATTGAAGTTCTCTTTAACTGGTGATCTATGGTCTAGCTATTTCCCTCTAAAAGCTGTCTATTTAAAACTAGTTCTGTTCCCTTGCCCAGCTCTGAAAGCACTTTTTGCCCTCAGAGATGCACCTCAGGATGAAGAGCCCTTGATGGAATAGTGTCTTGCCTGTAACTCAAGGTCTTAGAGTCATGATTAATTGGCAAATATTGACCTCAGAAAAGGCAAAAGACTAATTCCTGGAATTTACAGTGTTTATGGCAATAATAAGGGTACTGAAAGCTTGTTGCCAAGAAGGGGCCAGGCTCTCCTGGTAAGTTGGTGAGCACTTTGGCTTCCTTTGTCCATTTGCTGTCCCATGTTCTCCATTTTCCCTTTCCTGTAGGGCAGGGTGCTATGTTCTCTTGGGTGCTGTAGTCAGACAGGCCCAGAAGACTGGACTTTTGGGACTGGGGCTTGTTCATTTTTGATTCTCAACCTGGCCAGTTCCTCCTCTTTCCCAGCTTTATCTCTCCATTGTCATTGGATACTGCTAGTACAGGCAGTCCTCGGGTTACGTCGGACTGACGTAAGTCATTTTGTGGTTCCGTCACCATCTCCCATTTATATAGAAAAAAAAGTTCCGTCATTTCGACCTACGTACATATGTGCTTTATGTTTTTTATTATTTATTTACCACAAGCAAAGGTCAGGAATTGTTATATTTCTTTTAATTTTTTTTTTTACTGTTTCACTTCATTACTGCTGTGTATGTGCCCCATGTGAGTGACGTAGGTGCTTATGTAGGTGTGTTCCGACTTACGGCGAAAATCATGTTATGCAGCACGGTAGGAATGGATATCTGACGTAACCCGAGGACCCACTGTAGTCTGAATCACATGAGGTATTCTGGTAGCATCATTCATTGTCACTTTTTTGCCCTTAAAATGCCTTTCTCGTCCTTGTTCATCTTGTATTTTTGCAATTATTCTTCAGAATCAGTCAAGGGTCACTACCTCCTTGAAGCCTCTGTGACCATTGAACTTCCACCCTGAGGCAGAATTGATCTGTGCTATTTCTATGCTGTATATCCCTATCATAGTCATGCTTGCATGTCCAGAGTGAACATTTGAATGATGGGACTATGACTTTTTACAGTTTGTATCTTCAGCATGGTTCCTGGGATACAATCGGTGCCCAAAAGGGATGAATGAATGGGTGGGTAGGTGTGGCACATTCAAGGAGAATTTCTGAGAAGCAAGGAAGGGGGAGAGAGAAACAGGAAAGAGAATGAGAACACATTTTTAGCTGGGATATATGGTAAATTATTTAAATTTTAAATAAAGTCTCTTATTTAGAGAGAGGAGGGGAGGGAGGGAAGAAGGGAGAGGGAGGGAGAGAGAAAGACAGACACCTAAGAGAGAATATTCCCTCCCACACATGCCCTGACATGGGGATTGAACCTGCAACCTAGGTAGGTGACCAGAATCAAACCTGCTACCTCTTGGTGTATGGGACTATGTTCCAAATAACTAGCCACACCAGCCAGACTACATGAGAAAGACTTTATATGTGGGTGAGAGAGTTGTTTCAGCTACATGCTTGCTGAAAAAGATCTATCATAGAGGATGGAAGTGGGGGCTATTGATAATAAGCTTCACCATTTTATTAAAGAGTAGAAACCAAGTAACTGGCAAGGGATGACACACTAGTCATTTGGCTTTCCTTCTTAAAAGCTCTGAGATTTTTATTGAAAGATTTAGTTTCTTATGTGTAAAATGGGTTGATAACACCAAAGTACATTCTTTTTAAAAAATGTTTCTTTATTGATTAAGGTATTACATATGTGTCCTTATCTCCCTCTTACCCTCTCCCTCCCCGCACCCGCCC